AGGGTCAGGGTGCGAGCTGGTGCTCCTGTGTCCAGCAGGGTCAGGGTGCGAGCTGGTGCTCCTGTGTCCAGCAGGAACAGTCTAGCAGGAGCTGCCGGGAGTGACACCAGAGACACGGAATGTTGCTGCTGATGTTGACAGGTCCAAAACATTGTTCAATTCATTGATTTATGTTCACCTTTAAACAGTAACAAAACTTCTTCACAAAAAAACATAATGACCATGAGAACATAATCACACTCCCACCTTCTTCCTTCCTATTCTGAGCTATTCTCAGGTTGGAGTTACAGGGTGGACATAATCAAGGATATTCAAAAAAAACATTTTCCCAGAAACACAAACAGCCAGTTTAGAAACTGGAAGAGTCTGGTCTTGATTTGACCGCCCATTGAACTGAAGATCCCAGCAGTCCAGATAAACGACTCTAAAACAGGCCAGCAGCTATATCATCCTGGCCACATTCTCCCCTTGCCTTTACCAGTCATGGCCTCCTAATAACCCCCCTTTCTGAACTGGCTTCATCACTCTGCTCTCCTCCCCACTGAGAGCTGGTGTGTGGGGAGCGGACTGGCGGTATGGTATGCACTACTTATCAGAACTCTGAAAACCACATCATTGCCAAAGCCCAGGATGTGAATTATCTGATTTCTGATTATTTGCACATCAAAGCCACAACCCATGTGGTTTCGTATTCAACCCTGAATTCTTCAGGGCTTGATTGACTCTTTGCGTACTTCACTCGTCCCTGCTGCCCATTTCTCCAAACTGCAGCAGGTGAGAAGCCCCACAGGATGCCATCAGGAAGTATGCAATCTGTCCTCTTCCGATCTAAATCTTGGGGTCACAAACTCTGAATGTTGGGTTTGTATGGCGTGGGTCTAAATCTAAAATGAAATGATCAAGGAAAATCATTAAGGAGCTTTGTTGCAGCTTCCATTCTTTGACTCATTGTCAAGAATGTTTGGCACCGTCGATGGGAGTTTATCAGATCACTATCCGGTCACGATGTTATGCATTACAGTGTGTTTGGCACAGTCTACCCTGGGGAAACCAGACCGCCCCTGGCTGTAGAGCTGTGCCGGGTCTGTGTGCTTATGTCAGAGTCAGGTGTGTGCTTGGGTCTGGGTCGGATGCAGAGGGCAGCTTGTACTGCTGCCAGGTCTCTTCTCTTCTTCCACCTCTGTTTCCTCCCAGTGTCCTGACTGTGTGAAAAGGCTGAATGAATACAGCCAGCTGCTCCCACACACAGAGTGAGGACGTAATCACTTGTCATGTCTACCTGGACACTTTCAGCTGACATCCACAGTGCTTCTGCATAACACACTCAGCCCACAGTTATTGAGTCACATTGCCTGCATTACATAACAGATATGTGAATATGGCTGCATGTAGCCTACTCCTAATTTCCCTCATTTTCTTGAAGTGCTTTATCAACTGCTGGATTTCCTCTCTCTCACATCTGAAAAAAGCTCCACAGCCAAAACATTGTATTACTTTTCTTCTCTTTCAGTAAGGAATAAACCTTTACTTGTTCCTTTGCAGCACACACACCTGTCTCTGACCCAAGCACACACACCTG